TTTTCCCAGATTTCCCCCAAATGTGACAAATGCAAGTGTGTAATATGTTAATGTAATATAACTATAGCAGAAGTGAGACTTTGCAGAGTTAGAAATATAGCTGTGGGAGCACCAAACAATGCAAATCTGTCTTCTAGGAATAATGTGATATGTCAACCTGGGTCATGTATTTTTGAAATAAAGAGGAAAAGTGAGTCAATTGGTTGGGTCAATGTGTTTTAAAGACTGGGAGCAGGAARGAGCTTAAGGAAACTGCAATGTCTGGCCAGGAGGGAAAATGCTCGGTTGGTTTATTACATTCAGTTTGACCTTCTTCCTTTTAGGAAGCAAATAGGTTAAAAATGTTTTTATATTYGGGGTGTTAATAGCTTAATCTGTATATTGGCTGCTAAAATGTCCATAAAAAATCCTTGGATTGCCCTCTTCTGACCTGTTTGYGTGTATTGGTTTTGATTTGTGCCTTAATAACGGTTGTGTGTGGAGTTTTCAATATCATAAAGTGACGTTATACCTTGCAGCAAGGGCTTTATCTTCCGGTAAGGATAAGCACTTTACGATGCTGAACTTGGCACCTAATTGCTATTTGCGCTGTTGAGAATGGCATGCATTGGAGTGGCAAAGTGCTGTTTGATAAGCAGAAACAGATGTGAGCCCTGACTTTTAGAGCTGTTTCRGAGGACTTTGACAGGAGATAAACTGCCTCCCAAACCGTGTCCCGGTTGAKTGAAGTACAGTTGTGCGCTGAACAGGTCCGTGCCCTCCTTGCGGCTGCAGGAGTCAGGCCCTTCGCTTTGGAGGGGATCCTTCCCTCCAAGCAGCAACGATCCTGGGCACCTGACRGGGTAACGACTAATTCTTGAGCGCCTTTCTCCTCTGTGCAGTGCACGCTAGGGAATTGGTATTTGATCCTTACGCTTTATGGATTAGCTATATTACAGTTTTTCTTTAGCTCTTGTCAGTAAGGAATCTTAGACTGAAATACTATTTTTTTTACTTTTGTTTAAGGAAATTTGTTTAATATCAGCAAACATTGCTAGTAGTCAGAAAGGTTTCTGGAATGTGAAAAACAAAGTTCAGTTTTTCAACTAAATAACTGATTCTGCACATTCTCTCTTTTCTTAAAGCTAGAAAGCCCTTGTTTAAAGCTTTACTTGGTTGGCAAAAGGATTTTTTTGGTTCATCAAACGTTCACTGTAATGTTTTAGCTGTCAAAAGAAAAAAGCCCTTGTTGGAATAAATAGATTTTTTTACTTTATAGTATTTTTCTGAACATCGTTTTAGTCAGCTCTGCGAGCCAGCAATTGTTGTGTGACCCAGATCCTGATCCGCTTCCTTTGCCGACGCTGTGGCTGTGTGCGAGTAACGTGATTCTAACACAGGCAAGATGGTTTCTAGCTCCCAGAAAGGATGGTTAGGACCAGCCCACAAAGAGTCGGTTCATTTACATTTAGAGCACGATTTATAGCTCTGATAACACTTGCAACTYGGGACCCAGGCACTTGGAAAGAAAAGGACTATTGCTTTCTTAAAGAAGAATGAAAGAGAGTTTGGCAAAATAAATCTTGGGGAGGAATAAGCATACYCTTGTTAAGGGTTAGGGTGTATATGAGGGAGAGAAGAACTGAAATAAGGGATATGTAAGGGTTCTGATTTAAGAAATCCAAGGAATATAATTTAGTTACACATCTTGTTTGCAAAGTATAGGGTTAAATCTTGAACTAGTTTTAGAGAATGAGAGCTGGAGAGAAAGGAACTTTGTAATTCAAGATGATCCTCAGTGCATTTATGTAAAAGGCAGTAAGGTAGATCTTGGAGGTAGAAATTAAAGCATATGAAATTTCTTGGTACTAAATTAACTGGAATCTCTGAGAAGAAATAAAGSAATTGAGGAAAAAAATGACTTTGTCATAGTGTTTTTAATTTTACAAATCCTTCTCTTCAGGACTTATTGGTAGCCTGCAGAGGAGGGAATATTTTTAACGATATATATACATATATATATATAGGAGACAAATATAGGAGACAAATATATATATATATATATATATTTGTCTCCTTCCTTTATGCGTAATTTATGTTCTGTTGTTTCTTCCATCCTCTTGTGATGCAGAGGCAATTTGCCATGGACTAAAGATGGGTTTTTTGTATAAGCTGTTCAGATTTGTCCTGTGGAATTGGGAAAATTGTCCTGGTCTGTGATATGGATCCAATGTCCGTGTGCAAAGTTAAATCTATTTGCCCTAGTCACATAAGGTAGTGATGTTTGCTCTTTGTTTTCCATCCTGTTTTCCTGAGGCCACATTGATATTTTCATCTAACGTGTGCGATTGTTTCAGGGACCTGTGATGTGCTTGGCAACCTGTTCTTTTGGTATCGTACATTCAAGTTTTGTGTGTATTTCAARTTCATTTAAATTTCTTAATGAAATGAAAAAAATGAAAAGAAATGAATTTCTTAAATACTTAATGAAAAGTATTAATGAAACGTTTTGGGCTTTTTTTAATTGGTTCTTTCTTGTAATGCAGGAGACTGGGTTAAACATTCTAGGTTGTAYTGGACTCTTTTCTTCAAGTATAGTTCTATAGATACTCATTTATTATAAAAATAAGGTCGTGACTAATGCCTGTTCATCCGGAAATTCAATGTTAGAACATGGAGTGTATCCAAAATTTGCTACCTATTATGTTGGGCCATGACATTTATCCCTAAAAATATCTCTGTAAAAGGCAAAAGGGGCAGACTTATCTAGAAGGCACTAATTAAGCCAGTAATATTTATGAATCTTGCTGAGGTGACTGAAAAACAAATGCAGAGACTTTTAAAGTAGTTGTAATTTTTATGTTATAAATAGACCTCAGTTACCATGCATGTGTTAGCAACATTAGTCTGGAAAATCATTWTTATTTTGGTAGCTCTCAAATTTTAAATGATAAGTTGTTATGATTTTATACAAAGCTTCACCCCTGCCCGCAACATAGCAATAGATTTATGGGGAAAGAAAAGAAAATCTGCTGGTCTTATGCACACTGACTTAGGTAAAGGCATTTGCTACTTTTCTGTGGATTGTACCACTTTGTAATGCTTGGAGTTCCTCACTTGGCTTAAAAATAAAACAAACAAACAATAAAAAAAAAAAAAAAAAAAAAAAAAAAGTGAAGTAAGGATAGAAAAAAAAAAATTGGAATTTTTTTTCCTCTCCTCAACAGTGTCAACAACTGTTAAGTGGCTACTTCAGTCTGGTTTGTGTGTCAATGTGAATCAAATCCACAAATATACATGCTTTTTTTCATTGTTTTCTGTGTTTTGTTTATCTATTTTAGTACATATCAGTTGGAAATTTTGCTTGGATTTGGTAGGCGTGATAAATTGCTTGATCCAATGGGTCGCTGGCCTCTTGGTGCCGCTTGTAATTCTATTTCTTTACAAGTAAATCAACATGCAATATATATTATTTTCACTGCAATGTAGAAATTTTAACATTTCTATTATGTTTACAGTGAGGCGGTCTGACAGAATCTGTCTCCCACACATTCATATATATATATATATATGCGTGCACACACACACGCATATATATATATTCACATAGTACACTTTTTATCTGTTATTAGGAGTATGAGTATGGAGATTTAAGATGATATAGCACAATGATTCATGTAAAATTAAAAGTAACCATTCTTTTAGGTATTGTTCCTTGAAACAGGAGGGCTCCAGACGCATTTTTGCTAGCGTATGGACTGGCCTTTAGCTGACAGTTTAACCTCTTCATTTTTGTGAAATGAGTGGTATAATTAATTTGACGAGAAGTGCAATAAAGGAACTATATTTCTTTTTTACTGGAAAGCTAGGAACTTGATGCTATCCTGCGTATAAGATCTAACAGTTATTTTTTGTTTGCATTTCCGAGATTTGATTCCTGTAAAAGTCTTACCTTTTTAGTGTGCCACCTTAGCTGAAGCTTAACCCAACTACGCGTCTCGAAGTGAAGCCAGGCCATCTTGCTCTTTCCCCCAGGCATTCCCTCTGTAGAGTTCATGGGCTCTGTCCTTGTAGATGGTGATTATTTAAAGTAATTCTTGATGTGAATGAAGATGTACGGAATACAGTCTTGTCCTTTCTCTGGCTGCTGATCGTTCTGTGGCTACATGTGCCATCTAAGGGTTATCGGTTGAGCTTGCTCATTTAGCAATACAGCTTCTATACTTCTCTTTTAAATATCAAGTCATTTAACATACATGAAAAATAATGCTAATCTGCCAGAATTCTAATTGCAGTGAAAAGCAAATAGCAGAAGAATTTATTGTCTATTTTTCTTCACCCCTGCTCATGATACTGCTGTTTCTTTAATTGGTTTCTTACTTTGCTTCCACTGACTTCCCTGGTTTTGCCCCGTTCCTTGAAGGCAGGTTCACAATTAGCTTTTTCAATTTTGCTGTTTTGAAGACTGTTTGCAGCTCATTTTCTCTTCCTGTTAGATGACCCACAGTCAGCCCACAGTTTAGTAGTATATAATTGCTCTGAATTAGTGAGACCACCCGTGTAACATCGTGTGAGAACTCCATGCTGTCCTAACTCCATACTATCCTAACAGGACAGTATGTGCTAATAAACAAGCTGAACCAACCAAGGTTATTTGCTTACTTCTGGTTTAAAGGCACAGCCTATTCTTTTCCATTTGTCAACTATTTCAGTTTGAGTAGTTTTCTATATTTAGCTTCTGGACTAGGTATTAGGACTTTGGTCCTGTATTTTCCTCAGTGTTTTTCCTAAGGCTCTAGCAGTGTCTGCCTGTTCACATGTGTTTATTTTTGCTTTCATAAGGGTTGTGCTGCAAGCTGGTTGTCTAATCACAAATACGATGACATTCTAAGCAATATTTTTAATAAGAATGGGTGGTTGCGTCATTTGGATCTTGCGTGGAATAGAAAAAGGATGAAAGTATGGGTAAAGCAAAAGAGCATAAAAATTAACTGGCTTTTCTTTTCCTCTTCTACCTTCAGAGAATTAACTAGGCTTCAAAATGAAAGTGAGAAAGAAGAGTCACTAGAAGTATTAATCTGAACAAGAATTATTGCTGGTAAGTAAATACTTTTCTTCTTCTGTGAGGTTGCTTTTCCTGAGACAATAGTTAGTTCTTCATGTAGTTTCTTTGCAGTTGTCTCTGTTACAGACAATGTATCTGGAAATTGCTGTTCTGATGACAGATGATGGTCAGTTGGAAAAAAACAAACTTCACAATAGACCTKTTGCGTCCTTTGCAAGATATTTTGTTGATGTGATGTAAGAATGTCCTTTTTGTCAGATTATTCACTTAATTGGTCARTCTGATGCCCACTTCACCTTCCTTTTCTCCTTGTACCCATTCCCTCTCCCCCTTAAAAAGAAAAAAATCTTTAATAGATAGAATATATATCCTCTGTCTCATATGCAAGGCTCTTATTCTGTGGCAGTGTTCTAAGCCCCTTTTGTTTGTGCTGGAGTTGCAGATATTGCATGTATTTGTCATGCCCAGGCCTTGGGCGTAGACCTTACTCTATGTGTTTATTTTCTCTTTGAAAATTGTAAGTAACTACGCCATTAGATTTGGAAACTATTGAGTGCTATGGGATATCCTAAATTCAGTGCTAGAACTTCTCAAATACTAGAAAGCATTAAAAACTTAATATTAAAGCTTCTCAAAATTCAAAAGGGCCGTACAGGGAATATAATACCATTTAAATAAATGAATAAGCAACTGTATTAAACTATATTAACTGTATTAAAAATGATTAATGAATCACAAAAAAAGTATCAGAAAATACAGGCTTGTCAAACAAAAATACAGGGGAACTTCCTGGTCATTATCTTTGCTAGCTCTTGGGTGGAATATATTGCTCCAAGATCTGTTAAAAGTAGCTTCCACCAGGAAGGAAAAGAGGAAGACAAAATGCTGGCCTTGCTATTTCTTTGAGTTCTATCAACAAGGCAGAATTTCTGTTTATGTATTAACRGATCAATTGCACATATAAATATGTTGAAACTAAGGCCAGAGAAATGAAGCGCACTGGAAATCTAAAATTCTCTTTGTAAGGGAAATAATAACYAGTTGGCCAGTTTGTCAGATTTGGAAGGTAATTTGGCAGTCTGTATATTATGAAAAGCAATTTAGTGTTTTTTTTCCTTGTGCTCTTTCCRAATACTTTTGAGCAGGTGCCTTTCTATGCCGTGATTGCCATTGAAAGCATAGAGCAGCCCTAGCCCCTGCTGCATCTAAAACGGTAGCAACCACTGTAGTACTTCTACACTTGTGTCGTCAGCTACTCAGCAGTTTGTCCAGCCTGTGTGTAGCTATAAGCTGTGATGAGGAGTGCCCAGTTCTGCTGAGTGGTGGCAGACCCCTCCTGAAACCAACTGCTCTAACTCCGAGAGATTCTCGTAGGCAGAACATAATGGATCCTCCTTGCATCCTCCTTCCCGCCACCCCTCCTTTAATGTAGTGAGGAAAATAAATCTCTACTTTCCAGCAGTGGTCTTTGATTGAGGAATCAGGTACCTGAAAGACAGTTTTTGATCAGGAAGGAGGAAGAAATAGTTTAGGAGGCTACTTCCTGACCAGAATTTTTACCTCTAGAGAAGCTGAGAAAAATAGAGATTGGAGGTGTAGGACGCTAGAATCAATGCAACAGGACCATTCAGTAGAATGTCCCGGCAGGAAAAAAGGTAGAGGGATCGCTGTTTGCCTGGAAGATGGAACAGAGACTTTATTTTGTTTCCCAGGGAGCAGACGTGTTATAGAATATTGTAGAGCAGCACCACACTCCACCAACATTAATCAACAAAGCGCTACTTTTACCAAATTCAGCACGTTACTGATAGCATTTTTACCCTTTGTCTCAAACAAGAATGTTACAATGTGTAATAGTAACAAGAATACTTGATTCTGTGAGATTCAGCTCAAATTCAGAACATTGCCAGTTACTTTTCAGCCAAAAAAAAGTGCATTCAGGAGTGTGGTGCACCTTCTTGTGCAGTAGTAAGCACTCCTTTCTCATCTCTGGCCTTGGGCAGAGYTCACATGGCAGGGTAGAGGTAGCGTAGTTCAGCATGAGTATTGGCATTACATTCTGTCACTGAATATGGTCTTCTCCTCGCAAACTGCTACCTCGTTTTCAGAAAGTCCTATTTTTCTAAAAGACTCTCCTGCCCAACTGTGTTAACATTRATGACACTTCATTAATTACAAAAAGAATGTTCTTTTTCATTTCATGATTAAGATTGGTTTGGGAAGGCAGGACTGGTGCATCTCTTTCCCCTTGGTCTTACATATTTTAGAAACTTCCTTGTCTTAAAACGTTCTTTTTTTTTTCACACGTGATAGTTGCAGTGCTGTGCAGGAGGTCATGCTTTTCCTGGCCTTTTGCCTGTGATGATAGCTATTTACTCTAGATTTCCAATATCCTGCTGACTGCCTGGTGGCGTGGTCTGCGATGGGAAGGTTGCAGAGGATAATTGTTCTTTTCTGCCCCCTTGTCAAATAACTTTGATTTTGTTGTCGTTACTGCTATGTGGCAGTCATGTTTGACATGAGACCCCATAAACGTAACCTCCTCTGTCTGAAGGATGTGAGAAGATTGCTGATTGTCCTGTAACTGTAACAGTGAATGATCTTATAACTTGGTGCTTTTTGTCACGGGCTCAGAAGCACTGCTCAGCACTGTGCAACTGGTCCATGAATGTTTGCAGCAGTTGGTGATTTTAATGTGCCATCTGTATCATGCATCCTTTCTCCTTGATTATCTCATCTTCATTTCAGCATGGTTTGCTAGTTACAGGAGTCGTGGAAATATGAAAAGATGTGTGCTTTTGTTATAATGCTCCACTGATCTGAGAAGGATTCGTGTTTCTTTTGTAGGGTGTCAGAAAAATTGGAAACTGGTGTGGTGAGCCATAGATTCTCTAGTCATTTTGGTTAAAATGTTTTTATGTACTTTATATTTCTAAACTAAGGCATTTATGCTTTACATTTGCATTAAAGGCGCTTAGTCCAATTTTTCCCGGTGGTTTCATTCAAATAATTTTTCTAGTTGTATTCATCTACTATTTTCCATGTCTTACTATTTCAGAGTGATGTTTCATGCTTTTCCTGGGATAGTCTACAAAATGAAGTTAGTCATACCTAGACTCTGTGTTTTTCAGTTGATTATTGTGACTGTTAACTGCCAGATAATTCTTTAAGCAACTGGTTTATGATATGAAATGATTTCTATGGCAAGCCTGTATTACTAAGTCCTGTTGGAAGGGTCAAGTTAATGAAGATGCATCTGAAATTATTTTGCAAAATGGGAAGGCTGAACACGCTTCAGTACTTCCTAGTGTTTGGAGTGATATGTTTCTGAAAACTGCTTCTGTTCTGGAATATCCATCTGCCTTGAGTCGAGTGCTCAGCAATAGCATGAACTTGTCATTTGAGCATTCCCCAAAATCACTACATCAGGAGTATGCAACTAACCCGTAGCTTTTCCAACTTCAATTTCTATTCCTTTCTGTTTATTCTTTAAGGTTTGCTACCTGGTGCTTTGAAAGTGTTCCAGGGAGTGTCTCCAGAATGCAAACAGAGTAAGCTAMTTTCTGAGTTTGGGAACATTTTACAGCAACATGTTAATGCTGGAGAGGGTTATCATTTAGGTGCCTTACTAGAGCAGGGACCATTACACAATAGGCTAAGGAAATGGAAAACTCTGGGGCTCTGTTCAGAAAATTACTGGAATGCAATTCATTCATCCTAATGGCTTCAGGGAGTATCTTAATARCATAAGCTCTCCCACCCCCTCTGTCTACCTGTCTTTCTTCCACATGCCTTTTGGAACAATGATCTGTCAGATTTGGGCTCTGCAAATCCTTTAGATTTGTCTTGTGACTTTTTCTCATTTCTTTTCTAATTGCCCTATATCAAAGGATTACTCATTGTCTGCATTTCGTTTATTCCTTTGCCTTTACTCTTTGGTTTAGTAAGTGGTTGTAAACAAATCAGCTGGAGATGGAGCTGATGGCAGACAGTGTGAGACTTTTTCCCACTGCATAGCAAATACAGTCATTTTATCCTATATGATTTTCTAAAATCTGTGGATCTTCTCCAACTCTCTGTGTACTGAGGTTCAAAACAAGCCCTAAAGAAGCACCAGCAGAAATATTTGGCTGATAATTTAATGGAGAAAATGAGTAGCTTTTTTTTGTTGTTTTGTGTTTTTCATTTTTTTTCTTTTCTTTTTTTTTTTTTTTTTTTCGAATTAGTGCCTCTCTATGCGTATGCACGGTTCTTCCCCATGCAGACACTCAAGTCATTGCTAGCTACTTCTGCTAGTCTGTCTTGGTCTTGCATTTCAAAACTCTACTATTTCTTTAGTGACTGAGCTTGTGTGTGCACAGCTACTAATCTCTCCTTCCTTTTTTATTTTTTTTTTTTGAATTTTGCATCTGAATTTTTTTTAGCAGGCAGAGTATTAACATGCTGTGTCTTGTTTTCCTTTTTTTTTTTTGATACAAGTGCAGTCTCTTTTCTGAATGCAATTTATTCCGAATAATCAAGTGTCTCATTCGTGTGGAATGATTGTTATTCACAGTGCCCACAGTGCCAACTTCTTGTGGGCTTTGCTAACAAAGTAGGAGTGAAGAAAATTAGAAATCGGTAAAAAATGAAATTTGGGAGGAAATTTTCCCCTAGCAGTAGTGAATTAAGGAAAAAAAATAATCTGTGCATGCAAAGGTTCATGAGGAAATGGTGTGTTATTCATGATAGTATTTGAAAACCCTTTTGAATAATTCATGAAAAGACTAAAAATGTGTATTTTACATTCCATAAGCATAAAGTTGGTAGGAACGCAATTTTTAGTTATCCTCCTACCTCCTCAATTGTTCTGTATTTGACTAATGCAGTTATGTGCACTTGCATAGCATCCAGGAAATTTTCCAGTTTAGTTTAATTTGTTCTGATCCAGCATTAGCAAATGTCAAAATACTGCTTCAGATTTATTTCTGCTTCAAGGAGGAGTTACAGTGTGAGTTTTTAGATGGAGTTAAATTCAACCCACTAGATTAAAGGTATAATTCAAATATGGTGGACTTTTTTGGTGTTATGATCATCATATATATATAAGAGAAAGAACTGTGGCACATAATTTTATCTAGCAGTTGTTTTTTTGTGCATAAACTTTATCTGTTGTGTTTTGTAATGTAMACTTTGTTTAAAAGCATGTTCCAAATTCTGACAACAAATAACTACTTTTATATTTGTGCATAACTGTACAATTCTTAATTAAAATCTGAAACAAATGTCATTCTTCAGTTTGTAGATCTAGTTGTCAGTACTTTTTTTCCTAGTATGAGATTCTTTTAAAATTGGGGAAATTTTTACAATAGAGTTAGAAGCAAATGAACACAGTGCTTGCCATCATTACTGCAAAAAGCAAGATACACTGCATGTTTAAACTGTGTACTGCATTGCACATGTTGAACTAAGTGCTTGAATGTGATGGAAATCAGTGAGGGGAAAAAAACAAACAAACAAATAAACTTGGATTTGGGGATATTTAAGTTGGAAATATTTTTATCTTCAGAGTTCCCTTTGCTAATTAAAGTGAGATAAACTCAGATAATCAGTCTACATAGATTACCTTCCATTCRTTTTTCCATAGTGAGTTTTCCTCACTGAAATCTTAAATCTATTTATAACTATTGATACCATTTTAAAATGAGGGTGTATGAAGGTACAAAGTCCTGTATTTTTAAAAAGAATTAGTTAGGAGAAAATATTATATGGTATCATATTGCTGTGGAGTAACAGTTGACAGTTAACAATGCTAAATGATACGCTTACCACTGTGTTTTAATATATTTTTTTTTCTCTATCAGAAAACAAAAACATTTTGCCACACATTTGCATGAGAAAAAGATTCTAAAAAGCATTCATTAATAAAAAATATCTTGAGCTATTACAGTAGTAAATGGTGAAAGTGCAGCATAAATTTTCTCATATGTGCATGGTTACCTTTTGCTTCATKTACTTTCCCTCTGTGTTGCTGTCTTTGATATTGATTTGAAGTGAATTTAGTAAATAAAGAGTTACTGAAATTGATCTGGCTCTCATATTCAGGTCGCCTTTTGTTTTTGTTTATTTAAGAAAGCTTAAATCAGTTTTGATCTCCTGGATGCTGATATCCACCAACATTTACAGTATGATCATCCATCTTCAGAAGTGTAAAGTAGTTTCAGGACTGAAAGGCAAAATATTTTATTTTACACTATAAAGGAAAGGAGTTTAATGAAATAATTTRGCAGTCCTGATTTTGCTCTGAGTTTAAGAAATGTTTTCATAGAATTGTGATACATGTTCTGGAAGTAACTCAGGTTATGAGAACTTCTCTTTCTCTAGAACTTGTTGAATTAAATAAAGGAAAAACTTCAAATACGAGGTGACACTTACTAGTAGTCACAAAGTCGTTTCTGTGGTATTTAGTCAATAACCAAAAAGGTGTTATTTTTTATGGCTTGTAGAACTAGTTCTACAATTTTTCCACTGAGCATCATAGTACTTGTTAATATCAGCTGAAATTGCTGTAGCTCAGCATCTCAAAAACTGAAGCCAGTTCACAATTGATTCTGTGTTCTTTTTTCAAATTACTACTTTTGATTTCAGGTTGCTACACTAATGAAAAATACAGGAATAGCAGATGTTTTTGGTCCAGGCTTTGAGTAAGCTGATGTTCTCCTTGCCTTCCGAAGAAGAACAAAAAGACAGAGAGTTAGAATTGCATCTGAGGTACTGTAATAATATACTAACATATTTTATTCTGATGTTTTTACATATACAAGTTGAAGTTAAGAAGGTTGTAAAATAAAATTTATTCAGACTTTTTATGTGACTATTTTATTCCATCATCACAAAAATGTGCCTGTGGAAGGCAAAAGCCATTGGAGACCTGATATGTGTGAAAAATTCAATATAGTATAAACATTCCTTATTAAAGAAAGAATTCCAGTGCCTGTGGTGTTGATAGCATTGCATTAAAACTGTATTGAGGGGTGGGGAGAGGAAAGTAAATGACATTTACCTCTTTGTCACTATTGATAGTTGACTAATTTTCAATGTTTAGTTCTCTATTTACTGAACTTTTGGGATATATGAATAATGACATAAGCATTTTTTGGAGTCTGAATTACATAGTGTTCTCTGGATTGCTAAAACAAGTTTCAGTGTCTTTTTCTCCTCACAGGCATATAATTGTAATGCTTTATGATTACTTAGATTTTAAATGATCATATGTGTTTTGGTAGCCTCAACCTCCCACTCTATATAACATGATTATTAAATAGACCAGGCACCAATACATTGAGAAYGTAGTATTGCTATTCTGTGTTTCCCCATATTTCAGTAAATTGTTTATTTGACATCATATGCGCAAATGTATATAGACATAAAAGGGAAAATGAATTCTCCTCCTCCAAATTGATGACTGAGCATTGTTCTGAGAGGACTGAAAAGAGCTTGGTTGCAGAATGAAAAAATTTGAAATTGTGTAGGTATTCACAGGTTCTATTGTGTTTGTTCCTGAAAATTTTTGTGTGCTGATTGCAGCTGACATTTTGAGTGTTTATGGATGCTTGTATGAGTGCTAATTACAGGATCAAGATCTAAGTTAGGAGTTTGAAGCAGGAACAATAAGTCCTTGAATAGGGAGGGGATGAATTACACCAGTAGCAGTAAATGATACAGATGTTTCACTGTTCTGCCTCGTGAGCACAGCTTTATTTATTACATCAAATGAACCTGTTCTGTGCGATCTGCTTYTGTTATAAATAGTAAGTGTGCACGTGTGTGAAAATGTTGTAAATAGATTTGTAAGTGGCATGTGAACAGGAAATGTTAGCAAACCCAGACCTCAGTTGGATATAAAAATCACAGAGAAATGCTTACCTCTGGTGAACTAACCTGCCCTTCCTGGMCAAACATGGCATGTTTATGTTTTTGCTTATTTTGTTGTTTGATTTAGTCTACAAAGGTCTGAATGCCTACAGCTAGGCCATTTTTAAGTATACGATAGGAACTTCTTAGGAAGAATGGTAACTGCCTTAATGACTGGTGGAAGCATYGCCTAATATGTTATGATTTCAAAATTGTTCTCAATTTGCTTGTGTATTTCAGTGTTTCTTTATTTAGAATCAAATAACTTAATATCCTGAATGGAAGCAGTTACMGTTTTTTTCTGAATAGCCTAATTTCAGCATCCTTAAATGAGCTTGTCCTTAATAAGACGCTGTTTCCAGAGAAGAGTGTTGTAAATGCTGCATATRCAGAAATAATTATTGGGATTTTTCAATTGATTTGCCGTGAAGAATGGCCAGCCTGTCAGATTAGATAAAGTATGTCTTATGACATTTTTTTCCTATAAGCACTAAAACTTACTATAGATAAGATGTATTTTTAGTAGAAATATATATTTTATGTTCTACTGTCTAAATAACATTCATAACATGTCCATTGTAGAAATGTCTAGGCTGTGAGATATCCCCTTCATCATTSTCTGTTTTATATCACTGTGATCAATAATATAATAAATATAAACAAACAATGAAAGAATATGATGTTAAAAGTAGAATTTATGTCTACTATCTTATAGTCTTTGTAGACAGTGACACTGTAAGATTTACTTTTGCGAAACAAGCCCTAAATTYTCTGGCAATTATGTTGTATATGTACAGAATTCTACTCTTCTTCCCATATTTAAATGCATATACATGCACTACATATGTATTTATGGATATTACATATGTCATTCCAGCCATAAATTATAGCACCCATCAGATGAGCTTTGCATTCCAATAAAAAATAGGCTGCCTACCTATGGCATTTCAGATATTTATGATTGGTAGTTTGGCATATGAAGAATTTACCAAAGAAATACTTTACCAAAAGTCTATCAGAAAATTCTGAATTCCGTGACGGTGTTGAAATGGGGCCATTTCCTTCACTTCTGTTCTTCCCATATTCAAACATTTTTAACAACACTGATGACTGTACGATCCAAACACAACTAGTTGGTCACTAAGTTCTTCTGAGCTTTTGTCTGAAAAATTAATTTCAAAACTCCATTTAGTTCATTTTTCTGCTTTCAGGTGTCAGTAGCAGTTGTTTGTGAAAAAAGTGTAAGAAAGCCAGGCCTGCAGTGATATCTGTCTGGTGCTTCCAGCTTGCTTAGTCAGCTTCTGGTGCCTTTCTTGTTGCAGTATTGCAGTTGCAGTATATCACTGGGTGGATTTTTCTTGCAAGAATTGTTTTAAACAGTTTTTGAACATACGCAAAATTTTGCCTTTGAAAGCATCCGGATTACGCTGAATTTCACAAGTTAATAGTGCCTTTTGAAAATCCAAATATCTGATATCAACTAGGTCTCCAAAATACTGTGGACTCTGGCATTTTGTATGTATCACTGTGCCTAATTTCTAATCTATCTAGTTTCTATCTAATCTAATCTGGTTTCCTCTAATTTACCTCAGGTGGAAGTACAGCTCTCTTATTTCTTAGCTCCTCTCTAGCGCCTGTTACAAGAACTGACGGCTGTTCTTTTCCCTTCTTAGGGTACCAAAGGAGACAAATTTCAATGCCAGAATTCCCCTTACCCTTCTAGATGGTTCTGCCCTGGGACTCTCTGCTCAAGCAAGAATCTGTCAGTCTTGTTCTAGGTTTAGTGGCAGTGCTCTGGCCTTGGCCAGGCTCTTCAGCAAAGTTTGTGCTGGTCTAGAGGGGGTGACTTCTGCAYGAGGCTTCTCAGAACCATGGAGAGCTCTTCAAAGACCAGTTCACGGGCTTGTACCCTGCGGCCCCATAGGATTAAACTGACTGCTGATACTTGTGTCATGTCAATACTAGTATCTTCTTCCATAAAGATTTTTCTTAATAAAAAGGCTGCAAAAACCACAGTTCAGTTTAGGATAGAAAACAGTGGCACAAAATGAATCTCTGTTTATTTTAATAGAGATCACTTTAAACATTTTCTCCCTGATCCAGGCCATTAAAAATCATATTCCAGGATTTTGTTACCTAGTTTTAAAATCATCTAGTCTCTGAACCTCCTGTGTGTAACATGGGAGGCATGTAGCTTATTTCTGTGACTCCTTTCCCAGTTTCTGATTACTGTAAAGCTTTGCCTGCACTTTTTTGCACTTTGCAAAACCTCAACAGCACTCCACTTCTGACTGCATGTATTTTGCATAGCAATTACAAACTTGGCAGCTTTTTCATCTGTCTGTTTATCAACTTGAATTAAAATCATCCATCTGAATTGTGGACAGGTTGCAGTTAAGTTTCTTGACTGTTACATTTCACTTTGATGCCAGCCAAAAGCAGATCCTACCTCTGCTTTTGCTTCTGGTGTTTGAAGCCATTAAGTAAGGAGGATGTGGGGATGCTAGGAGAAGAGAAGATGCAGAAAGTTTCAGCAGCAGTATGAATTGAAAGATGAAATACTAAATAAATAAATATCATCCTTTTTTTTTTTTTCTTTTTTTTCCCTTCTACTTGTTATCTCACCACTGGAATCTAGTATCATCTAGTATCTGCTACCTCCTTAAATTATTGGTTTCTTGAGCTTATTTTGCAGCTGCTACACACTTAGGGGTCTAGGACCTCCTTTCCTCTTCCTTGTGACCTCAGTTTTTATAGGTTAAGCTTCTAGTCAATATACTTTGTCATGTTTCCATTTGAAAGCAATTCATTATCGGAAATCCTTTCATCTTAAGCATAAATTTAAAGTCTCCTGTGGACTTCAGTATTTCATTCTCTTTCACAGATTTCTTCTTCCTTTCACAGATTTATGTTTGCTCTTCCTATTTTCTTTTGGATTAAGTTTCTGTGAAGGCTTAAAAATAGATAATTTGTTTAGGACTGCAGGGGGAAATGGTTCTTGATAGGCGAGTATAAGAATTTATCCTTGACTGTGACGATACCCTTGACTGTGACGATATTGTGTCACAGTCAAGGGTTGTATGGAGTCAATTTGGGAAGCAAACAAGTATAAATGAACCTTATATAATTTTACTGTTAATTTGCTGAGATTTTTTTTTAAATGTCTTCCAAAGACATTTGGTTAATGCAGATAAGACAAAGAACTTTTTACCTACCTGTGTTTTCAGTTAATGTATTATTTTAATAGTTAAGAGGGACTATAAATCTGAAGACTGCTGTATCTGCTGCTTAGTCAAATGCATCTTTAAATGTCATTCCCCCATGGAAGAACATATTATTTCTACAGTCCACTTGCTTATCAGTCTTAAAAGAAAAAACAGCAGTTACTTTTCATCTGATTCTGATAGAAAACCTCAAATGCATTTGAAAAGCAAACTGCTTTTCTCTTTTGCTTTCAAAGTAAAATTTCTTCTTTTTAAAACTGCATAAATTGCCTGTTGAAATTGCACTAGTTCCTTTTATGAAAAAACAATATAAAGAAATGATTATATTTTTTTTTWAAAAAAACCCTCTTAAGTGCCTTATGTTGCAGAAAGTGCAAGCACCATAGGCCTTTGCTTTGATTCCTTAAATGCTAGATAGCTTTGGATCTAGTGCTGTAATGACAAATGGATAAAATATTCTGATCAGTTAAGGTAACAGATTGGAGTGGAAAATCCATAGTTATTAATAAGTAGAATGTGTAATACTTTAAGAAAAAAAGATTCTTTCTCAATGTTACAAGGGAAAATTGAATGGAAGATGTTCCCGTGGAATGCAGAATAGAGCACTGTTTTTTGAATCTGAAATCAGAGCCA